AACCTTTACAGGCGCACTGAAGGCCCACTACAAATTAGATAGAAATAGACAAGGATAAAAGGATATAGTTTTTAGCGTCAATCAATCCCGTCTGAGGGATGCGCCCCCGCCCTCGACTTCCATTCAGAATCGTAGTGGCATAATGAGTGCGTATGTGGACTATACAATGACTTGCGGTGACNTTGAGTATCGTTACAATTCCACACAGAAGTTAGGGCATGGCACCACATTTGAGGTAAAGGCAGTCATCTGAGTGATCTCTGGATTCCATTTTTTGTTTTTCATGATATACGGGTCGCGCCAAGTATTCGATTTCCAGTTAAAATGGCACTTACAAAGTTTCATGCTCAACAGTAGAAGTTTCTTGAATCGCATTCCCAGTAGAAAAAAACCGGATGGGAAGGAAGGAGCGAGGAGACCAGATGATGCCGGATCGACTAAACTATACCAAAATCATGATTCTCCACCGTAGTCAGGCTCATGTTGAAGGCAATGGAGTCTAGAGATTGAAAAACGATCCAATGTTATGAAGGATCTGAAAAGTGTTGACCCTTGCCTAAGATGAATGATGACTGGTCTATACAGGACTGCTGTTGGCTGTTGAAAGAAAAGCAAGAGCTGAAAGTTTAGCTGCGATGATTTCGATCTGTTTGAAGGGCAACGAAACAAATACATTCAATCATAGCGCTGTCTCTGCAACTCGAACATTATTCATTTCTGCAAGCCTCAGTTTTGGATAGATTTTATTGCGCAGAGCGACGAAGAAAGCCAAAACCAAGAAAAGTGGCAAAAACTATGAGAATAGTAGAGGAAGGTCAAGCCGTTATCGGGACCTGTGATTGTTTTGTTCCATGACAATTACCAGTGCATTCATATTTTATGAGATGAAATATGAGATCGTAGCGAATTTATATTAGTACATTTTCAGCAGCCGAAGACGGAGATTGTGATCATCCTTAATTACTAAAAGCTGACTGATATTAGAGCCTAGGCCATTTTTGGTTCTTTGGGAAACAGTTACAGGGTCTTGTCTCTAACAACGTTTCATGAATCATTCAAAAATTCGACAACGTTGAGTTTAAGAAGTCATATAGAATTCTAGAGAAGGTACTTAAGGTTTAGTCTATTGCACAAAGGGAATGAAAAGAAAACAATAAAAAGCTTAGTCCGGATGAAGCTGAACTTACTCTGTGGCAAATGCTTGAGATTTTACTTCACTTCCAGTTTTCTGGATGCTCTTGAGAAAAGGAAAATATGGTAAAAAAGGAATGCCGGTTTGAGTCCAGGGAATAAACAGTTCTGAATCAATTAGTCAATCTTCCAGAGAAGAATGCTTTCGCGATGAATAGACCCCTTCTTGAGGAGAANNNGGGGGTGATAGGGTCCGGTTGGCTGGCTGCTGGGCGGAATTCGATCGTGCGAATTGCACAAATAGCACAATGTGGCCAAGCATTTCGTTCTCTTTGTTCTCTGTGAAGAATGTGGTAATTAGAGTGAATTTCGTGCTTTCAGCTCGTTCACTGCCTGAAGAAGGGATAAAGCTGGGAACGAAACGACTAAAAGAACTGGCACAATTGCGGCTCTCACGGACTTTAGTATAGTAGTTGAACGTACTCCGAAAAGCTGCAACTGACGGGACTCTCTGAGATTGACAGCCGACTAAACAACATGAAGAAGTTATGGGGCATATGTACGACAATGTAACCTTTAGAAGGGAGCAACTATTAAAATTGATATGGAAATATTTGGAATAATTTTATCATGTTTTATCATCTACTATTATTAGTTATCATAATATTTTACCATACGTTATCAAAATTTATCCAGCATATATTGTTATTTACGCTCCTTATAATACATCTCTGAACTCCACTCACAGTTACTGCTCAGAAGCGGCCAAAGGAATGAGTGAGCCATCAGAAACTCCTAATTAATACTATAGTGGACTCATTCGTACATCTCGTAATTGTCAGTAATATATTTCTCATCGGGCGGAGGTGGTGTAGTGCAAGTGGCGCACTATCTCACAAGCACGGTCAGGGGTTCGAATCTCGGATCGATGCACGCCTAGGCCAGCCAAGCCTTCCATACCTCCTGAGTCGGTCAATCGGTACTGGACTCGTCTGGGAGGATAGAAACACTGACTTGTACATCGACTGGCCACCGCAAGTCATTGTATAGGCTACATACNGGGGCGCATCCCTTAGACGGGATTGATTAACGCCAAAAACTTCTAAACTAACTTTATTAGGTTATATATCGACTAAGAAGTCATCGAGTTGAATTATTTTGTGATTTCTGATAGGAAATATAATCAAAGAAATGAAAATATTGCAATCCCCGAAATCGTAGAGGCATATCATAACATCCCGATCTGAAGGGCAAAGTACCCAAACAAGGATGATTCAAGACCTTAGAAAAGCCATGGATATAGAAAAGCCATGGACATCCGCCGCGAAGTACTGATTCGAAAGTGGTTGACGTGGAAAGTTCAAGACCACTTCAGAAGTAGCACTTATCGAATGACGACGAAGGTATTGATAGAATCCGAACAGAGCAGACTCACTCGGGGCGGAGAAGTACGTTGTCCTGATTTCCTATTCTCACTCTCCCGTTACCAAGCAGCCGTTTAACACAGATATTTCATGATAAATAATTCATCGCTCGAGAGAGAATGTTTTGAAGATACTACTCCAGCTGAAAACGATAATATTTCATTAAAAAAAGTCCCGTCTATAAAACAGCCATATTCTTCAAACTTTTTCTGAGTTTTCTGAATGTTTCGCTGGTTTTTCAGAAGGACCCGGTACATTGTAACCGCGCAGGGTTAAACTGCTTTTTTGAAAGGGCCTCTACTACATTGTAACAGTACATTGTAAACAGAAGCCCAGGCAGTAGGCCTCTTGTATCAAAAAGAGTCGGAAGACATTCCGTGATAGAGGGTTTCTACCATTATTTAGAGCCGTATCACTCGGTAAAGATCCCAAACAGGTAAAATACCCCAGTTCCGATCCTAGGCTACCTTGGCAAACACAGGTGGAAAAGGCATCTCACACACATCTGGCATACACAATACTTTTCAAGGGGTGAGCTGATGTCCGTCCGTCATTTTAAGAGATAATACCTTTCAAAAGATGCCCGTAAAATAGTGCAAGTTGACGTTTTCTTTGCAATAAGTCCCCCAGCTCCCTACCCAACCCTATCCCGCTTGCTACTATAAAGCTCATAGGTAACAACTGACTAGTGATATCATGGCAAGAAGAAGCAGAAGGCAGGAAAAAGGGGAGTGAGGTAGGGGGAGTGGCGGAAGTTAATTGAGAACACTTCGCAAATTCAGTTCAAAACGAGGACAAGAGGCGTCTGTCTAGAAGTGTGAAGGACAAAGAAGCCTCTACACGGAATATACTAGTAAGGTAAAACCTAAGTAAATAACCTAAATAAATAACAATAAATAATAATAATAAATAACCTAAGTGGTGAAGTAAGTAGGAACGAGTAGTAAGATATGCCTCGGTGGTCGGGTCTTACAATTAGAAAGCTCTTCGGACTGCAAAGTGGAGGGAGTTCGTACTTCCCTAACCAACCTATCGGAAAGCTCCCGAGCCATACCTTCGTGATGTAAGAGGTGCTATAGCTTTCTCGGAAGAAGTTTTTAATGAAATTGTCAACTACTGAGGTTCTGAGGAAGTACCAGAAATCTAGAAATGACTTATGCATGCTCTGCCGAAGCACGAAAAGCAGCATGTCAGCTGGATGATCGCAAATTGCCCACTTCATCACCATTTTCTTTAGCGTCGCGATAATTATTTATCCTTAGACGCTGCTGCCATGTGTACCCTTGAGAGGCCTATTGTTTGAAGAACTAATAAAATAGAAAAAGCATGATCATGAAGGGAGGAATGGGAAATTTTGGTACTGGAACTTGTGGACTACGGGTTGCGTTTCCCTGGAGTTCTAGAGTCTTTACTAGAGTATTAGTGCTCGAGTAAACAAGAAGTTTGTCAAAGTAAATAACCTGCAAAGTGCGGTCTCTAGGTATTGACAACTCTGGAATGCAATGCTACCGGGAGGCCTCGAAGGAGCCCAGTCAATGACAGTGTTACCCCTATGATGGAGACCATGTCCGTCCGGCGACTTCGGCGGCGCCCTTGAGGGGAATAAATCCAGAAGAGGTGAAGTTGGTAAGCTATACGAAGGGCAGATTTCTATGGGTTTTTGCTCTTTTTAGTATATCCGATTTCGAGGCATTATTCAGCATCGATGCCTCCAGTCCTTACCTTACGACTCATACCATACATCATGTCATCGGTGGTCATATCGTTAATCGTAGTGACAACTGAATAAGCACACTGGCTTGCACTATGGTTTACTGGTGCAAGTAGTAGTACTGTAATCTCCTTTGTCTGTTAGCTAGTACTTTCTGTCAGAGAATAGAACCGAACTTGGGTAATTTGGAAGGGTCTGAGGACAGAGAATCCGGTCCAATACAGCAGAGTAACGGAGCTGCTGAGAATTCTTGCAGCTGCAGTCTCCATGTTCTCTGGACATACAAATTCTCGATATAGCTCTTCGTTTTACCGTAATCAGTTGCCTACATATTCCGACTGGAAACTCCGAACTCAGGACAATCGAACTCTACCATAGCGTAGTCTGTTTGTTTGAAACCATGGCCGGATAACTTGTAAGAAGCCTCCTTCCTTCCAAGGTCTAAAGAGCTGGATTCACCGAAACATAGGCGTTCAAGCTCTTTATCAACAACGTGTGTAGCTTTATTATTGAAGTTACTTTATCTAATTTATTCAAAAAATGCCGCATACAGAATTGCACAAGCAGTAAATATTCACTATAACGATGCAGTTTACATTACAATCAGATTTGTCAAGTTACAGTTATTCATGGTATTCTTGCTTCACAAAGTTTCAGAAAAACTCCATCAATGTCATGAAACTGGCAAACTACTAATCTTTTCATATCATCTGTTAAAAGTTATGTCGTCCAGATTAATTATGCACTGAGACGATACCGGTTGACTTGGTGGACCTTGAGGCAAGCCCATGCATTGTACTGACTTCTGGTCCCCTTTTCGACGTATTGCCACCAATACATCCGAACATCTGTTTGATGACTTCACGATACTCGGTACTGTAAAAAAGAATTATTTTTTATTTATGGAATATTAAAAGTGACTTGTCAGAACTAAGACAAGCAGAAATCTGTAGACATCAAGTCGTTGGCTTATGGAAAAGCTCATGCTCAAGGTAACTTGGAAGAGGAGGCAAAAAGAAAAACCGTTTGAAAGCTTTTTTGCTTCTGGGTAAACGTATCACCCGGGAATCGAGTCCTGGACTGATATTCACAGATGTCAGTCTAATAAAAAACAGGAATGGAAGCCATTTGGAACTGAAAAGGTTGATGTCTTCTGGCACTAAACAATGTGGTTTACAGAATGCGCCCCGCACTCAACTCCCACTCAGGATCGCAGTGGCCCAAAAATACCTTTGAGACCTTACAATGACTTGAGTGGCGTGTCGATAACAAGTCAGAGTCAGTCTTCCACACTGCTAGACAAGTCTGGCGGCAACAACCGATCCCAAAGGGGTGAAAGGCTTGCCTGTCTTAGGCGAGTATTAGTTCGGAATTCGATCCCCGGACCATGTCTGTGATAATGCACCATTCAATCATCTCAAGTTGGTTGACGACTGAATGACGGCCCATTATCATCCATTCACAATGAAGAAATCGAACAAAGGCAGTTCCGATCCGAAACATACTTACTTGATAGCGTAATAGACAAAGACGTTCGATGCAAGTCCAAGATTCACTGGGACACCAGCATACAGATTGATTACAACCGTTGTGTAGAGATCATTTGAGAAAATTGTAGCCAGAGTATTGGCCATGAAGGCGAGTAACCATGAGCATATAACAATGATCACTGTCACTCCTATAGACTTGAAGACCGATTTCATTTTTGAACCTGCAACAAATGCGTTTGGTGTGTCGTTAGGTCAGATTAATTCATCAGAAAAAGTTGAGAAGAACACTCACTGGCGCTGCTACTTCTGAGCAAATAAAACGTTAAACCATAAACTACGATTATCGCAACATTCACTCCGACTCCAATCTGATTCAGCTTGTCGAAAGCCACAACTCCAAAGCTCTCAGGTATTGAGCATTGNGGTCAGATTAATTCATCAGAAAAAGTTGAGAAGAACACTCACTGGCGCTGCTACTTCTGAGCAGATAAAACGTTAAGCCATAAACTACGATTATCGCAATATTCACACCAACTCCAATCTGGTTCAGCTTGTCGAAAGCCACAACTCCAAAGCTCTCAGGTATTGAGCATTGGACGAGGCTGAAACCCATGTGTTCTGTGCAGGAATTTCCAGCTCCGCTTAGAGACTGCTGCTTTAGGCCTTCCTGTTGAAAATGGGTCTCCCAACTTATTGATCGCCGCGCGCGCGGCACATTAATGTTGGCGTTTCCGGAAGTCTAGCACCTCATTATAGAGCACCACTACCAGCTGCTCTATAAGAAGGTCCTAAGCTTGTGGTGATAGTAACTATTGATTCCTCTGAAAACGCCATACCATAGTGGACCTCACTGCTGTCCCTAACGTTTGAAGCTAGGGTTTCACGCTGTTTTTCAACTCTCCATTCACCTGGGCAGCAACTTTGTTTCTGCCCTTTCGTTGCCTTGGCGTTGTAGAGTCAGAAGTAAGCCCCTTCCAGAGTTCGTCTCTTCTCCGGAGGTTAACGAATGAGGCTTGGTTAGTAAAATGTAAAACCGTAGGACTTTTTATGTTCTCTTGCTGGGAGTGAAACAATCGTCCGGGCTACAGTCTCATCCCTGACCGCTGTCCCTCTTGGCTCACTCAAGGTACCAACTGCCGATTTATGATCGGTATTCTTCTTGGTCTCCGGTCGTCCTAATTTTCGGGGTATTCCTCATAAGAACACATATCAGACGTAACTTCATCAGCTCTAATTAGCTACTAGAAGATCAAGGAACTGATAGACTACCGTGTGAACATTTGTGTGAATGAAGCGCCCCAGTCCCACCTTGACTGCTCAGAGAACATGGAGTATTTTGGAGAGTGTTGGAAAGAGTCAGAAGGACTAGGTGCAGACTCACGATTGATCTTTGTTCAGAAACGCCAGTATAACTAGGTATAAGCCGTATGCCAAGGGTAGTAGGAAAGAACATAGCACATATCGATATGGCACCATTTGAAGAAAACGATATCTGAAAGACCTGTTGATTGTTGACTCAATAAAAACGAGCAGCCTATTTCGCGATTCTTTGAACTCCTCATTTTTGTGAGCTAGTGTCCTCTTGGTCAAAACCAGGGAGCCCTGTCGTTTTCTGGCCAAGGCGACATATCCCAAATCCTTCTAATCTCGGAGTGATTCCAGCCTGAGCTCGCCTGGATGGACTTCATTACGAGTGTTGTTCCGGTCCAGTAGTAAATACGATATGATTTAACTCTCTGACCTTTTCCTGACCAAGGCGGCATATTCCAAAGTCCTTTTCTTTTCCCAAGTATGAGAACCCAGTACACATCATGTTCCCTTATCTACAATAGATTACCATACGGTAGATTTCTTACAACGGTGGGAATCGGCTGCGATGGAATGGAGCAGAGCCAAGGGAATTGGCAGGAGACCTTATGGAAAGTCATTCTGGAAGCGAGTGACAGACTTCAAGGTCGACTACCTCAATGCCAGTGTACAAGCACAGAGGAAAACTGCAATCTGAAAGCTAAAATTACCTGGAAGGAAAGCGTACGGCGATAAGGCGATCCATACCGAGTGATAACAGAAATGGACTTCCAACACATGCTCCAAACATAGGGATCATTTGTAACCAAAAACAGTTCGAATGAATCATCGTGGCTAGAAAATGGACCGTCGTAGAGGAAAAAACCCCGAACTGTGACCAAAGTATCAGCCTAACCGCTTCTGTAGAAGTGATAGACGAAAGGAAACTGCCCCAATTCGTGGATGAGATCTGCAGCACACGTCAATGCGATCATTATGTGGCATGGTGACTTTGTTCGCCTGAAAACAAAGACAACTAAGGCTAAAAAGAGGATAATTGAACATGGAATTTATAAAAATACTGGAAAATTTAGCTAAAGATTGAAATATTGCTGATTATTACCATTTTTGAGAATCAGCTGTTGACTGGGGTAGGAAGCTTTAGAAGCCAGAAGTTAGGCCAGTCATCTTGGAAAGACTTCAGCCAATACGATTATAAGTCAGACTTTATGTTAACATTAAAAAAAGTTACATCAGGGCCCATAACAGTATCATTTCGTCCTTAGTAACGATAGGTATCGATTGAATGCCCCTCGAGACCTTCAGTCCCCTGAATAATCATAAACTCACTTTGCTTTGAAAGTTGCTATAATCATAATAGCATTGCCAACGACCCCTATTCCTGCCACAAAGAAAAAGGCAAACGTCGGAGGAATCAAAATCGGATCCGGTCCACCAGACATTTCAAGCAGTAACTATTTGTTCCCTGAAATGGCCTTGTTTTCGAGTAATAAAGGAATATTGCTGGTGAGAGAAACCCTAGAAAATGGGGCCCTAGATAGAAGAAATGTTCTGCCGTCACACTTGCTTTCAAGGGAGCCATTTGAGGTGATCTCAATTCGTGAGTAGCACTATTTTCCTACTACGAAGCACTCCGATATCGGAATTCAAGAAGCAATTGTGACAAAAAGGACTTACACCCTGATGACTGATGAGAGTGGTAGAAGACTCTGTGACAGCATGGTAACTGTTTTTGGTTACTGATCTTTGGAATCGTGAGAAAGAATTACGTCGTCGGTCATGAGGTAAGCATATTTCTCACGAATAGGACTTGCATGTGCAATTTAGATGTAGGCGAGAGGATTTTGGATCTGCGACAAATTTCCTTTCCACACAAAACCTACAAAGTACGTACTTCAAGGAAAGCCTATCTAGACTGACTATGAACGATACCATAAAGCTGAGGTATAGTAGAGCGAAGAAAAATGAAGGCATCGTGGGTCCCATGTCTAGGGCTTACGGTGGCTGTGAAAGCCCCTTCTACAGAGATCGCAGTTACATGGAAAATCCAAGAAATCCCTCTGGGTAGACCCCATCTAACCTACAAGAATATAAACAAAATGATAGGAAGCTAAGCTGAAAAAGGAGCCCTATCTTTTTACTGACAGGGTAGCCATTCCACTACGTTCTAGGTAAAATCGCATGCATGGCTCATCCTGTATGGATTGAGAGCAACGTGATCGTTTGGATTCAAGGTATTTCTGTTGAAATGTGACAGTACCGAGTAGGAGAAGGTCTGTCTTATGGGAAAATAAAAGGATTAAGCTTTCCTCCGGTCCAGTTTGCTCGAAAGCTTCGGCATGATCCCAATAAGCCTTCTAACGGTTCTCAGGGATTTTCCAAAAAATTAGGATGAGTTGATGACTGGATTTTCTCTTTTACCTGTTCTTAGCTGCCGTGTGGCCGTTTATTCTGGGGCCACAATAGAACATACCAAACAAAACGGCAACCTTTACCTTCATCGCCCGAAATGGCATCCTCCTGAGCCCGACAACAGAACGCTGGGGTGTGGTGCGTTAAGAACGAAATGGTCGCGTCGCGGTGAGAGGGGCGTCGCGCGCGAA